TAATCTCTTAATCTATTATATTATTATTATAATTAAAGAGTTGCCCTTTTATATTAATAAGTTAATATAGTAGTTATTTCTTCTTCTATAATATTCCTAACTTTATAACTATTTTTAAATTAATAAAGTTCTTCTTTACTTTACTATTAATTTATATATTTAGCTATCTTCCTTTAATTTAAGCTTATAATATTAAGCAATTAGGTTTACTATCTTATATAGCTCCTAAAACACTTATTAATTTAAGTCTTTCTTATTCTTGTTTATTATTACTCTTTTATGGCTTTATCTTTATAAAAGGCATATTGCTTTTCCTAAGGCATCTTAGTAGGTTTGTTTGCAATTGCTATTACAGTAACCCTTACTATTAATATAGTTATTAATAAATTTATTATTAAATAGTTACTATTAAAAGCGTTCTTTTAATTCTTTATATTATTCTTTAGGTATTTTTAGGTATATTTTATATCTTTCTAATTTTATTATTTACCTATTATATAATACTTTAATATTATTAAGGTAACTTTAATAATATATTTTTAAGTCTATATATCCTTTAATATAATTTACCTTACTTAGTTCCTATTATTCCTTTATAAGTTCTTATTTATATCTGCTATATTATTTTTAAGCCTTCTTTTACTTATTAGTAGGCTTTCCTCTAGTGCTATATAGTTTCTTAAAAAATTCTATTAGTATTTTAAGTTCTTTATCTTCTTAGGGCTTTAGACTTTCTTTAGTGGTATTTAAACTTGTATTATTAATTAATTTTTATTATTCTTCCTTTTTTTATTTCTTATAACTATTATAATTATAAAAGTATTATAAATTAGTATATATATTAAAGTCTTTAGGTATATAGATTTTGAACTTTAATAGTCCTTTACTATTTATATTTTCTTTAATATACCTAAGGTTAATTAGGTTATAAGTTTATTACTATTTTATTTAAATTATATTATTATATTCTTTTTTAGCTTCTTTAATTAGTTATTAGGACTGCTAAATTCCTTTATAAGGTTTTTTTATTTTATAGATTTATTAATAATAAGATATGCTAAATTGTAATTCTATTACTTTAAGGTTTTTATACTAGTAATATACTAGGTATCCTTTTATCTCTATTTTCTAATAAGGATTATTATTAAGTATGCTAGGAATTATAATAAGAAAGCAATTATTATCTTCCTTTTCTTATTTATATACTATATACTAATAGTATTTATATAATAGCTATAATAGTTTACTATATTTTAAATAAGTTAGAAATATTTTTATAATATCTTTAGTATTAAATTTCAGTTCCTTATAATAAGGGTTTATAGTATCTGCTATATAATAAGCCTAAATATATAAGTTCTTAAGTTTGTTAATATTGCTATATTCCCTAGCTTCTTATAGATATCTATTTTTTATTAAGGTATATATCCTGCTATTATATTTATTAAATAGTAGTTTATAAGGTTGCTTTTACTTATTCTTAATTTATTTATCTTCCTTATAGAGGTATTATATAGTATTTTATATTACTCCTCCTTTATATCTTATACTTTAAGAGTGTTATTAGTAGTATATATAGACCTTATCTCTTGCTTTGCGTTCCTTTTTTACTATTTCTTCTTTTTCTTAGATAGTTATTTAGATTAGGATAGTATTAATTATCTTAAATACTTTAGGTTGTTTTCCTATATTAGAGGTAGTTCCTGTTCTCTATAAGTTTTTTAGGTATTCCTTAATTTCCTAATTTAAGGGTCTCTTTTCCCTTATTATCCTAAAGATCTCGGTTTATTTTATCTTTTTATATTTCTTCTCTTTTTTTCTTTTAAGGTAATAAGTATAGTCCTTTTCCTTTTCTTATTATTGGTTTTTTAGGTTTTTCTGCTATTCCCTTTAGTATTTAATTACCTTTATCTTATATAGTATTAGGATTTAAGGTATATTTCCTGCTTTAGCATTTTCTTCTATTAAAAACTTTTCTTATAATTTATAAATTAAGCTATTTAGGTATAAGTACTAGCTATATTTCGGCATAGTGCCTTTATATAAAGCTATTATATTATACAGGCTTTATATTATTCCTAATACTTGGGTTTATATAGCTATTTAGGGTTTCTATTTATTAGTTACTGCTAGTATTTACTTACCTTAATTAAGATTTCTAGGCCTCTTAGGTTAAGGATATTTATTAGCTATATATCTAAACTAATTATAGTTATAGTATTTAACTTTAAATATATTATAAGGTCTTTTATTATTATTATATTAGGTTGCTTTAAGTATTATAGGTCCTGGTTTAGTTCTATGTTATATATTAATATATCTCTTTCTTCCTTAATTAGTATTCTATTATTTATTAGTATTTTACTAAGGATTATATAACCCTCTATATCTTTCTGCTTATCTTTCTTTATATTATTTATACTACTAGTTATTAATTTCTATAGTAATATTTATAAGCTTATTTAAGTTTTTAGGTTTAGGCCTAATATTAACTATAGTATTTTTAACTTCTAGCTTTAGTCTTAAGTATACTTATGCTATATAGGCTTCTTCTCCTTAATTAAGCTTGGCTACTTAGTAGTAGTATTCTGCTAAGTAATTTATAGTAAATCCTCTCTATTTAAGTTATTATATTTTTATTTCTATAGTATGTTTTTTATCTATTACTTTAAAGGCATTTCTAAGCTCTAATTTAAAGTTTTTATATTTCTTATAAATATATTTTATTATTTCTTATTATTCTTTATATAATTTATTAATATAGTCTTAGATAATAGGTTTTATTAGTTATAGCGCTTTATCTTTAAGGAATCCTATATTATATTAAACTCTTAGTTTATTAGTAATAAACTAAATAAGGTAGTATATCTAGTAGCTTTAGAGGCTAGTAAGAAATCCTTAAAGTTTATTAATATTACTATTAAATAGTTTAGGCTAGTAGAGTTAAAGGATTTCTCTAAGATCTTTTCTAATTACTATAAGGGCTGCAGTATATTTAATATACTCCTTATAGAGTTTCTAATTATTTTCTACTTCTTTTCTAAGTACCTTTACAATCTTAATAAGATTAGCTATCTTTTTCTCTAGGTTTTTAATTTTATTCCTAGCTATATTAGAGCTATTCTTTGCATTTTCTAGGAGGTTATTATATTACTAGCCAAGATATCTAAGTCTATATTTAAGTTTTATAACTTCCCCTTTATAGGTGCTTAGATAAGTAGGGGTAATATCTTCTTCGTTTTTATTATCTATCTCTATAAGAACATCTTTTAGGTTAGGGGGCATCTCTTATTATAGGTAGTGCTAGGCATATCTTAAGTTAAAAGGCTAAATTAAAGTAATAAGTGCTATTATATTAGTATTACTTAGTATTATACAGTATAGTTTAAATAAAAGCTATTAATATATAATAGTTAGGTTTTCTAAATAGGTAAACTAGTTTATATTAAGTTTATATTTACAAATTATATAAGGTATAATACTAAGTATTATAAAGTATTATATTTCTTAATAATTAAGTAATATATATTAGGCTTATTAATATAAAGATATTTTATTAATAGCTAGTAAGCTAAGTTCTATAAAAGTACTAATAAATATGTTTTATATACTAAAGGTAGTTATATAGGAGCGATATAATATAAGGTTATTATCGGTCCTAAAACGATGCGGTCCTAGAGCGCCGTTATTCCTATACTTATCGGTCCTTATCTGGTTAGTTATTAAGGTGGAGTTTTTGTGGGGTATATATAATGTAACCGCTAAGGTCGTAACACATTAAGCTATAAGAAATATTAAATTAAATAAAGTTTAAATTAAACTATAATTTAACTTATAAAATATTTAACTTATAGGAAAATATAAATAATTAAAGTAAGGTAAATAGTATAATAAAAGCTATAAGTAAAATAAATAAATTTAAAAGCTTATTAAGTAATATTATATAAAGTAAGTAAATTATAATAAGTATATTATTAAATAATACTATAAGGACTACCTTTAACACTATATAAAAATAGACCTTAACCTTATATATCTCAGGCCTGACTACGTCTATTCTATTAAAGCCTGTTATTCCACGAAACTGCTCAGAGATTCTGCGTAACATAATTGCATTTTCATACAATCTGGCTTATTCAGGAGGCTGTCGTAAGCATCTGGGATTCAGTTGGACAGGATAGCAGCTCCTGTCATTTTTCTCTGTCCCATCTTCAACGCGATGCATAGGTTCGATTCAAAAGGTATTTCATTTCTAAGCCCTGTCTCATCTCGAGCTATTAGATCAGGTTGCAAAGCCCTTTACTGCAATTCATTATGAGATAATCAGCGCATCAGTGCTTGAGGAATATCGCTAAGAGACTGCATATCATTCGATATTAATAGAGGTTCTTCTATGCCTTTAAGCCGGGGTCCATGCATAAATACAGGTTGCTCGTATCCTAGCAGCTCCTGCTGCGACCGTTAATGGTGCAAGCGTGGTGTTGTATCCAAAACCCGGTTACTGGAGTAAAATGAGGTCAGTTTCATAGCTCTAGGCTAGAACATAGGCAGGCCGAATTTATAAAGGACATGCTCGATTAGGGACTTAAGCATCGGCGCGGAAGAAGCTATTATCAAAATGGCCTCTTCCATTCAAAGCCAAAAGTATACCGGTATCAGAGTCCTGAAACTTTCCGGAAAAGCAAAGTCCAATATATGCATCTTGACGAGCCTCATGATGACGGTCACAGTCGCAACCAGGCCAAGTGCCATTAAGACGGTGATAAGACACCGTTCCAGAGTCGATCGGTTAAGCTTCCAGATTAAGAACGTTGGCATAATTGCCAAAGTCAAGTCGCCAAATAAAGCAACCCTTTGCAAGAGGAGTCAAATCATGCAACGAGGGCCAATGTCGTGGTTGATAGCTTACCTATAGTCATGTAGCCTTATATCCAGATCTGCCATGCACTTAAGCACCGTGAATCTAGAACCTGTTACCAGTAGGCATTAATTAATCGACACTAGATGAACTGGAAGACTTCAGTGCTGATAATGCACGCAGCTTGGATACCAATCGTGCCCCAGATGATTGCGCGCCAGGCCTTGGTCGACGCGAACTTTAGCAGTAGAAACCTGGCCGAGATCCTGGCGAGGGCGAGCACAAGAGTTGACAGTAAGATAACCAGATAAACATATCGAAGGGTCTTTACTCCTTGCTCCGGAGATACATCATAGCTGTAACGGCCCAGCCTAGAAGTTACACTTGCTATGAAGAGAAAGTAGACGATAACTTCGATAATCTACACTTAAGTCAGTCTTGTCTCTTTATCTAGATTATCTTGTACTTACAACAGCACCCGGGATGGTGTAGTCTGAGGCATCCAATTTGTATACCTGGGTTACGCAAGTGTAGATCCTCACTGAGAAGACAAGAATGCCAATAATGAGAAAGGGCCTGACGATACCTAGAGCCTGCGGTCCAAGCGAGCTGTGTGGCAGATGAGCATTCTGGTCCATTACGGACAACATTAAAACCATTTCAGTCAAGTCTCGAGGGCTAGATGGGAGAAGGGTTGCTGGAAAAAAGCAATATGACGAAAGTCCCGGGTTTGTACGGATACAGGGGCATATAAGGTTAGGTTACCTATCCGTACAGAACATCCGCGACGAAACCAGCCAGGGAGACAGAGTCTAGACAGTATGTCAGCGCATTCCGGGGGGACGGGTCACGGCCCGAAGACCAGGCTTTTGATTAAAGCTACAGGGTTCAAGGTATGAATAAACGTCGAAACTGCCGCTTTCTAGGTATCTTTTGCCACGGCAGCCAATTCCCAATCGGATAATAATAAAGAATAGAGGATTTACTTATGGGTATAAAGAAAGCTGATTCAACGAGACCATGACTCCGAATGCGATTCACCTGCAACCCATGAGCCGCCATGCACCAGACCCTAGCGATCCGAGCTCGAACGGGATCTATTGGGTTTACATCTCAGCTCATAGCAACTCTGGAAACATTGCCGATGAAAGGGTTCCTATTGAGCAGCAACAGACTCGAGTTAGCGTGGCGGTTCCTCAGCAACGTTCTGGTGGTAACCCAACTCGACGATGGAACCGAGAGCTTAATAACGCAGCTTGGCAATATACCAAGTGTGCTCTCTTATTTTTCACCGCCATCCTTATTACATGGGTTCCGTCAAGCGCCAACCGTGTTTACTCCGTCCTAAACACCAAGAGCACGTCTGTCCCGCTCGAGGTCATAAGTGCCTTCATACTCCCTCTCCAGGGCTTTTGGAATGCGCTTATCTATATGATCACTTCATGGAGTGCATGCAAGAATCTATTCACTGACCTGCGACAGGGCCGACGTCCACATTTAATAGAACTTATGGACGGCATGGCGCCCAATATTAGTAGCAATCACCATCCTCGAAGACATAACCTCCCCCAATTCCAGACAAACACGACCTCGAATAAGTTCGAGACAGAAAGTATGACGGAATTAGCTAACGAGAGCCGGCTAACCTCAGATAATGGACAGCAAGACCATATTGACGTATGATAATCTTTATGAGTGTGTTTGGGAGCGATTATCCCGATGCTCTATTTTATTTGTTACTTCATATATAATAAAGACACGACTTTGACGAACAAGGCATGCTCTTGATGAAGAGATGGAGATACAGGATGCCCCAGTTTCGTGTCATAAAAATGCTTAAAATTCTTGGCAAAGCTTCCCAGGTTTATCTTATAGATACGATATGAGTTAAGCAACGCATCTAAGTATAGAGAAAGAGAAGGGACTATATATCTATAGCTGCTTTATAAGTATAAGCATATTGTATAAAGAAAACTTTAGTACATATACTTACTTATTAGTCTTGTAATCTCTATTTAAGCAGTCTTTGCTTATATTTATACTTAAAATAATTTTTATATCTACAGAGCAACTTTATAAGCTCTGTGAAGTCATGTGATAATCTTTTATTAACCTTGAGTCTGGGGTTGGCACGTGCCCTCTCTAAGGTAAACTACAATCGCCTCTTAGCCCATGCCCTCACCGCTACTCTGCCATAGCCACCAGCGGGCCCTGTCAGTGCTGTAGGGCACACTCTGCGGCCTCCTATTCGTCAGGTGCCCCTGCCAGGACCAAAATGGTGGTTTAATAATTTGTGATATAATATGAATACCACCATCCTATGTCTGCTGCGACGGAATTCGGAGGCGTGAAACTGTAAGATTAATTGTTTTCTGGCTTCGGGTGCTTCTTCAAGCCAACGATTTCTTCATTAACAAAATGTGCACACCTCATGCAACAACTAACACGAAGCCTGACGAGAAATGTTTGCTGAAGCTTCCACGGGAAATCATTGAACAAATCCTCGGCAACCTGTCGCTCGGGTGCATTAAAAACCTCAGACGGATAAACAGGCGCATGAACGACTTGGTCTTAGGGCCATGCTTTTATAGCTACTTCGGACACAAGTCTACAAATCTCATGCCCTCGAGTCTATCTTCTATTGAGGCCCTTATGGAAGACGATGTATTCGGCAGGCATGTCCGTCACGTCCGAATTATTTCTGAGACTTTTGCCATTGATTCCGCCGAGAACACGTTGGCTACTGGTCTTTGCCACACAGCTGAGTCGACCCTTAGAAATCGATATGGAGACGAATTCGTTGTGCAGCTTGATAAACCAATGTCCAAAGCAACTGACGAACAATTAAAGAAATTAGCGGTGGACTTCAAGTGGATGAAAACCCACGCTGAGGCATATGAAATGGCCTTCAGGACAGAAAAGGAAGAAGAAGTCGTGAATCGACTTGCGCGTATCTTCAGATGGCGAGAGCATTCTCTGCTAGAGACCATCGAATTGGACGCACGATTTGTCGATGGACCGGGTCTGTTCTCTAGGCCTGTGGCTAGACACATCGTAGATTCAGATCGGCAGCGACTGTGGGCTCGAGCCTCACAGGTTTACCGCCTAGCGATGACGGCCTGGGCCCGAAGCGGCGTGGCCATTTCTAGTTTGCTTATATACAGCAATACGACAGGCTGCAGTGTACCGTCTTACGATGTCACGGTCGGATTGCCAGGGTTGATGGATGCCGGGCTTGCACGATCGTCGGCCATTGTTAAAGAGTTAGCCTTTAGCTTTTCCACGCGGATGGACCACGGCTGGGAGCGATTGGCACAGGTTTATGGACAGAATGTCGCAGCAGTTGAGAGGAGGAGGCAACGTTTGCATTGGCATGAGATTCTGGAGGAGATCGACTGGCAAGATATGCATGGTATCATCGCAACAACCGAGGGAGCGGATTATGCCACGGATGATAGTGATTGGGATTCGGACACGGAGTACGACATAGGTATTTTGGACGAGAAAGGATCTGAGATACAAGGCCGTTACGGAGACACCATGCCACAATCCCTCTACCGTGACAACTTCCCCGGTATCTCGCGTCTTCTCCAGCATATGCCCAACCTTCAGAAGTTGAACTTGCACATGTACCAGACCCTTGAATACGAGGCATATGACGGAGGCTCAAGGCTTCATTACTACGAGGCGGTCTTCAAGCATATTGTAGACGCAAAGCTCCAGTTTCGCCAGCTTAAAACTCTGATCCTTCAGGGACTCTTTGTTGATGCCGAAGACCTGCTTACCTTCATGAGGCATCATTCGGGAATTGAGAGACTGGAACTGCATAACGCCATGCTTGGGCCCCAGCCCGGTTACTCAGGCTGGAACAACGTCTTGACAAGCCTGTGCCGCAGCGCGGTACACCACGGCACGTCATTGTCCAGCGTATTTTGCTCGGGCCTATATAATGCGAGTCGCACGTTTCGTGGGCAATGGGGCCACCCGCACAACCTATTGAGGAGCTATGAAGAGTTAAAAGGTCAATGGGTGGAACGATGGTGGCTTAGGAGCCGCCAAGGGAGGCCGGTACTATGGACTCGCGAGGTTCTGAGAGATGAATTCGAGCATGAGAATGCATTCGGGGAGGAAGGAGGTGCTCAAGGAGCGAAGAACACCGTCCAGTGGACTCCACCTGCTGGACTTCCTATGGAGGAGCTGCGGGTTTTGCAGGAGGAAGGATATGGAAGGACGTATGGTTAGGGATAGGATAGGAGCACTATTTACTATCCCAGTGATTTTACTCAGGCTTTTTATCCATGCTGTATATTCTATCTCTTGTGAAATATCAGATATAGAATATAACATATATAGAACTTATTTCATATCTATATAAAAGCTAAGAAACGATGTTATTCATATTCTATTCAATAATCCTTTTACTGGCGGATTTGTGATATCACCGGCGCTTATGTTTGCGACTTGTCACCCCACTCCTTAGCCACTCACCTTAAATCATTATTGCATCATGACCGAATCCAGTGACAGTACGAATATAGAAGCTTTGCTAGCTTAGTTTCTCAAAAGCAATCGGGGGCCTCAAGTCCTGATGTACTTAGAGCTACGTGGCTAGCAAACTTGACGGATTCTGGCTTTTAACCGGTATTGTCCTGCTGCTCTGGCCCTGCTCTCCCAGCCACGATTCTTATGGAGATAATATTAACGTTCACTACAATCCTGCCGTTAAAAGCTTATGAGCGTTATATACAGTCTCACCATGCTCATGAGCCCACTGTACTCGGAATTTAGATTCAGCTTTACCCCGCATGCTTAACGGTTCCCCATATTTATAACGCACCGTTGGCCCGCTTTGCCGTAATGATTACTTGAACCATTTCATTTGCACATTCCCAAAAACAACAAGTTTCATCAGACTTTCCCTCCTCTATTCTTCAATTTCCATTATATCATAAAAAATGGCCGTTGCTATACCGGAGTATTGTCGGCGTCTACTATGGAACTCGAGAGCATTCATACAGTTGGCCAGAAACGCCATAGCGACTAGCAGTCCCTTCTGGATACCTGCGGTAGCCCTGGTAGGAAACCGGAGCTATTTACATACTGTGGCCCGAGGCAGTGACTCTGCGCTTTCACACCGCCATGAAACTTCAGCTGGTCCTTCATGGCTATTGACGATGCAAAAGGCTACCCACGGTACACCGACTGAGAGCGAGGAGGATGTCGTCGCGGATCGCTCGACAGAAGATCCACTTCCTCCAGAGAAGCACCACACAATCCGATTACCTGCTGGGGATGCAGGTCCCAAGCCCACAGAGTCAGAGGAAGATGTGGTTGCTGACCGGACAGAGGACGACCCTCTGCGCCCGAAAGAGATGGCTCGAAGCAAAACGAATTAGCTTCCGGGCGCGCGAAGCTACAATTTTCAAAAAAATAAAATAAAATAAAAATAAAGTGGATTGAGGACTTTATTTGCAGTAAAAAAAAGTTTAAAAATATTCAATTTTGGAAGGAGGATTAAGTTGCGAATTTGGTACTGACCCCCGCTCGCTTCCTTTGTATTCGACATGGCATTCACGGATAATATCTCTTCGTTCATTTAAAACTCGGTTCTCCATGCACCTTCAGAATGTACGGTGTTTGCCAGCGGCATACTTTGGTCAGATGTTCAGCAACCAAGCTGAAATGCGAGGTTATGGCGATATAGGAGTATGTAGTATATTTGACTGTATTGAAAGTGGAGGGACCAGGAGTACGATCCCTGTCTCAGACCTGTTGTGAGGTGTAAAGATGGGGCGAAGCTAACGCTGATAGTGAAGCTGATCCGATGAGCCAAGATTCAGAAGTCAAATGGCCCTAGAGATCGCATCAAATAAACTCAGTTATATAAGTCTTATCGTAGCCTCTCCGAAAGGCGCTTCTGGCGAGGCTGGCGAAATAATAAGCTCAATGCGGACTTTCAGCGTCCTGATTGTGTGCTTGCGTGGTTCACAATAGTAGAAATTCCAATCTGCTCTCAGATTGTTAAGCCACTAGTATGAACGGTCATGTTATGACAAACTCATCCTCGCCATCAGGGCCTACTCCCAGACCGTTGGCATTCCAGGCGTTCGTGAGCATGCAAACTTCCTCCACGACGTCGGCGACGCCCGTTCCATCCGCCTTCGCGTCCTACAGTGCTTCGAGCGCACGGAGCTCTCCGTCATGGTCGACGAGCAGCGCCGCAAGCTGCTCCATTTTGCCGTCGTCGGCGGCGGCCCCACGGGCATAGAGCTTGCCGCTGAGCTTCACGACCTCATCCACGATAACCTCGCTCGCACCTACCCTGGCCTCATGCCATTTGTTGGCATCACCGTCTACGACGCACCCAAGATTCTGCCCATGTTCGACAAGAAGCTATCCTCCTACACCATCGACACGTTCCGCCTGCAGGGCATCCATGTCAAGACTAAGCATCACCTCCAGAGTATCCGTCCGGATGTGGATGGCAAGGGTGGCCTCAAGATCAAGATCCAAGAGTACGACGATTATGAGGTTGGCGCCTCAATGTTGGTATGGCTCTCTAAGAATTCCAAAGCAGCTTATCTAATTGAAAAACATACATTCTTAAACTATACAAAGAGAGGAAAACTCTTTTATTTAATGCCCTAAAAGTATAAATATAAGGATAAAGTTACTTTAGATTTTAATAATAAGAGAGAAATATATTAAGTTCTTTATATTTAATTAGGCTAATATAATAAAGTATTAATTTCTCAAAGCTTAAAAGTTTATATAAAATAAGAAGCTTAATCTCTAGTAGGCAGGCTTTAGCTTAATTATTTAAAATACTATTTAAAAGTATTAGGCTTTTAAATTTAATATATGCCTAAGAAGAGATTGCTTAGAGTGCAATCTAATATATAAGATCTTTTCTGAAAGACCTTATTACCAGCTTATTCCAATCATAGCATACTAATTAACAAGCTTTCAGCATATTAAGGCCAAGGCAGGCTAGGATGTGTTATTGCAGCTTCTCTTTAAAGTTAGCCACTAGTCTGCAGGGTTAACTTTCCATATTACTAATAAGTAGAAAGAGCATAATTATAATCAGCTTTACAAAGGCTAGCCTCGTAGACAGAGGGTTATCTATTAACGTAAGACTTAAGTAATAGTTTTCCAAATTCTTATAGGCAGCAGTTACCAAGCTAGTAAGAGTAGAAGTCAGTTATTAATAAGAAATTTAAGGAATAAGGCAGGGTCTTATAGTACAAAGAACCTATAGGTAAATTATTATTATTACAATTGCTTATATACTTAGATAGTTAAAAGTAGGTTAAGGGGAAGGCGGCATAACTTATAGCCGCAAATACAGGCATGTAGAAAGCAATTAGCTATATTTATATTTCCTCTAATTAAGAACTAGATAAACTACTTCATATTAGTTAAGCTTTATATAAGTAATAAGACAGTTCCAGACTGTGGTAAAAAGAATTAGTAAATTACTAAGGTTTATAGCATTATCTAGGTATTAAGGCTAGCTATAAGTAGGCCTAAATTATAAACTGTAATTGCAATAGGCAGAGAGCTAATGTTGTAATTATAATTCTATAGAGTGCTTTATATATTAAAGGGAATTAATAATAACAAGAAGGCGCTATATAATTCTAATATATTAATACTAATAAAGTAGGTAATATATATAATTCCTAGTAGGCAAAGCTAGATATTCTACTAATATTTATTAATTACTCTAATCTTCTGATATATATAAAGAATATTAACCGAGAGCGTATAAAAGGGGATTTTAGAAGGGTATAAGCCAATGAGAGGTAGTAAATTTCCTCTTTTACTGCAAATAGGACTGATAATAGGGATGTAGATTTAAGCAGTCATTTATAACCTTATCAGCGTTAAGCTATTAATTCAAAGGATAGCTTCAGCCTCTAAAGATAGGGCGCTAAATAGTTAGAGAAAGTTGGCATTCATATATTCATATAGGTATAGGAGTAAGCAAGGCAGATGAATTAGTAAGGTTAAGGCATATCCTCCTGGGCGTTCATTCTCAGTCTCCCCCAGTCCCTTTTTGAGTTACTATTGGTATCGCATCGTTATTTGCCCATAGATCGATATGTATTATTTATGTATATTTATCCTTGAACTCCTGTAGTCCATCTGCTATACCGCTCAGGTCATCTCTTCCTGTCACAGTGCGTATCCCAGATAATTGGGGATATACTTATTACAGCGATATCCTCCTAGATCTTCCGACATACAGGATATACGGGAACTCAGAGTAGGCAATAGAAAAATTCAAGAACATCCACGTGTCTAATCAGAGACTTCAGAGGGTCCAGTGCCAATCTAGCCGACATAGACTTAACCCCGCATCTGAGTGGCCTTATGCGAACACTTTCAAGCCTCCTTTACTGGTAGGTAATAAATAATATTATCCTGGTACTCCTTCCTTCCTTGATCCTGGTACTGAGAACTATTATCTCAAGAAATATCTCGACAAAGGCTAGACGGAATCCTATGATGACTTCCAGTAGAAGAAATGAGCAGGCTTCACTGCCATGTCCTGCCTAGGTATAGGCTAGGGGCTCCAACATTTAGTACGTTTTATCCTATCACCTAAAGCCCTCTGACTTGATTAAATGAATCATCAAGCTAGCATTGCCAAAGATCACTCTTGGTTCGGCGATGATTATACCCCCTTCGAATCATATATTAGAAGTATAGACGGCAGCGAGTTTAAGGTCATTGGGATTAGGACTGTGGCCCTTCTTACTAAGGTATCGCCTAATAAGACTAGGCCACGCTCTCATGGCACTCTCCGATTGATAAATGTGTTGCATGTCCCCAGCGTTTTTTGTAACATCGTCGGGTAGCCCATTCTAAAGGGGTACAACATAATTACTCGTGGCATCGAAGGGACCATTATGGCCTACGACGAAGATGGTGATTCTGATAACAAAGAATCCCATGAATTCGATCCTGAGACACGTTAATTGTCGACTATCTTTTTCCTCTGCGGAACTAGACTGGATCTAGTCCAGTTATGGAAATTCGAGGGATTTTATGCTTTGCTTCGGGCTCAAGTTTTACAATAACGGGGACTACGACGAGGTTCGGAATATTATTTACGTTTAAACTAATTAAGTTATTAAATTAGATAAATATTAGCTAATAGAAACGCAATGCATTTCTAGTAATAATTCTTATGTAAGGTATAGTAATTGCAAATACATATTAAATATCCTTTAAAACTTTAGCTTAATTAAGAAGGGGAATAATAAATTAATATTCTTTAATAATAGAGAAATAATAGGGGTTCTATTAGAGCTCTGCAAACCCTAAAAACATATACAGATAAAAGGAACATATTATATTGCAACTCTAGGGAAATTAAAAGGGGCATCTAACATACACAGACCAGAATATATACATTACATCAAATATTTGTAGCAATCATTGTAGTAGGGATGCAGTCTTCACTTGCCACTTAGTATGATATAGTCAGCTTGTCTACACCATAACGTTTCTCCGAGCTCCATTAAACTTTTATGCATCAAATCCTAACCTCTGAGTATCTTGCCCTTAATACCTCTGCGTAAAAAAAAATTTAAGCCAATGAATTCCAACTGATCATTTATTTGCGCTAATGTATTGGCGAATTCCTCCAAGGTACTGATTTGCTGCCATCCGAATACTCCGCTATGTCCATCGCCCATGAGTTTACTTCTGAAGCTTTGCGCCGACCTCATTATCTTCAGTATTAATCTCAGTGTCTGCTGCTCCATCCTTCTCTAGCGGCTTTTTCAACCATCTCATACCACTGGTACCGCAGACAGTATGGTCGAATAAGTCTCCCAGAGGCCGCAGTAGATGGCTGCAAGGTGACGTGAGGGCGGCTACTAGGAAGCGGCGGCGTGTACAATGAGTGGCCTCACTGTCCTCTCTTGAACCGGAAGTCCGCGGCACAGAGTCCTCGTGGTTCCCTTCCGATGTGGGCGTTGAAACTTCCCACTGAAATCTGCCAAGAACTCCCCTCCAGCGACCAGCTACTTCACCTCCACCTCTCGATTGATCCGGCGACTCATAAGACTTCAGGAACCCAGGTAGGATCGAGTACTCCATGAGCTCAAGGACGATTTGGACGGCATCATCCAATTCCGATGGATGTGGGGGCAATGCAGAAGAACGTAACCTAAGAAGTCGAGCCTTAACTTCAGAGGGCAGGTTGACCTCGCGACTTCCGTTAGGAAGGATATAAGTGCCTAGAAGATCTTCCCATAGTTCCTGCAAATAATCGTAATGGCGTCTTAGATATTCCCAAGGGACTTTTTTATCCTCGACTATCTCTGTATAACAAGCCCGGTATCTCGAGGCATCTTGGATAAATTGAAGGGTTTCTAGGCAGTGGTTTTTCGAGAGGTAGGCTATAAATTCATTCGATCTCGAAGGAACTGAATTTGAATCAAAGATAATCTCAAGTAATAACGACATTATAAAATGTGTCTTTGGGATAAGGAACAGCTTGTGATCTAGTCCTCTCGAGCCTCAAGCCTTACCCTTCTTATAGGTTAAATACCTTCTTCCCCCTCCATATACTCGAGATGGCTCCGGCTGCTTGTTATTGGAGAACTGCGTTCTAAACGCCGCGTCTGTGGCTTTGGGGCAAAAGATCCAACCCGTTTTGATTGGATGCTTGTCAACGCTCCCACATTGGCGCCCCAGTTTATATCTCAGCCTTTCAAAACTCTATTAGTCCACTCTCAAGGATTTGCCTCCACGGGACCGGGTTTTAGAAGCTAAATTTGCAAGCCACGAGAGATCGCCTTGGCAATACTCATGGGTTCACTGGAAGCCACGATGTCGATTGAAAAATACGTCTGATAACCAACGCTTGAGCGTATGTCACCACTACCACCACACCACCAGCACGACCTACCTTAACGCCCCATTAGCGGTCTCTCCAGCTTCGGAGGCCTAGATGCGTTCTGCATGACAATGGATTGTCTAGGTCGGAGCCACTTTATGATTCAGAGCGTAGGGAATCCCGCATTAAGTCGAGACCCAAAATGCGTGACTCTGCAGGTCTCATAACCCGAAATATCCCGCAGCAAAACATATGTCTGTTTCATTCTATGAGGGAATTTTTCCAAGAGGGCAATTCCAGACCAGATTTTCTTATCTAAAATGGCCTGATGCCTGCATGAAGCTTGCAGAGGCCGAATCTGACAAAGACGGCGGCGGCCGAACTATGGGCGGCATTACTGGCGCTGTAATTCTTACCGTTGTAATCATTTGCATTCCTACTCAAGAATTATCACCAAGAAACGCATTGCGTTTCCATAGGCAGAAACATGGGGCGAACATGCTAGACGGTGATTGGTCAAAAACAGGAAATGTAATAAGTTTCTGATGGTAATTATTGAGTAGGTGTTTGCCAGTAAATTCAATCGGTATGCTTTACTCGCCACGGAGAATATATTGACCGAACCCCGCTACACTCTGCCAACCATTCAGCCCTCGTTTACGTAGACCTTCAAGAGAAGGGCTACTTCCCGAGATTATGGTTTAAGGAGACTGTGTTTAGTAGTGGCGTACCTTGGATTTCCGTTGCCGACACAACTCGCAAGCTAAAGATATGAACTCTTCGTTCTAAGGGAACTATTCGATGCCCGGTATGGGTCTTTACCGGATGGGGGCGTCGAGCAGGAAGTAAAAGTCGGAGATTAGTCCCTTGACTTGATTCGCGTGTCGACGAGGTCGAAGGGTCTGAGACATTAGAAGTTCCGTTTGGCATCAGCTTGAAGTTCTTACTGACAGGTGCGACATTGAAATATATGCAAGGCTATGGCCTCCAGTTATTTAACTGAAACGATAACCTAGCCTCCTAGTCAGACCCTCAAAGAAGCTTACAGATAAAGTCAATGGGTAATTACTCATTACCCGTTGGCTCATGTTCTGATAAAGCCGCCCCTTGCAGTGGTTGTTTCCTCAACAAGAATGATGTCATGGCGGTGAAAGGATGATCTTTTTACACGTTTTTACTCTATTGAATGGGTAAATCATAGTGATGTATTTTATCTACCTCAACTGGTAAGCCTGTTGCGCCGCAGCGAAGCGGAGCGAAACGTGAAAAACCCTATCTATATACATTGCTGGTATATTTTATATACTTACATAATCTGAAGAAGGACTGAAGAAGCTTCGCATATTTGGAGCCTATCAGATTAGAGAACTCAGAAACGCTCACGGCAGACCCAAATGAGAGATTTTTGTGATTTCTTCTAATGTGTCAGGCACGATGCTACAGGGCCCTGCGTGTGTAAACCGTGGAGTATTGCAAATGACGTAGCCTTTGTTTTTTTGACTTGTTCGTGAGCCAATTATAGTCGGTGAAGATCCAGCCGGCTGATGGGGTTAGGTTCGGAAAGAGAAAAGCTACGCAGAGAGCACTAGACCTGGGACCCTATCTATATTTATACCAAGTTGATGCACCAACCCTCCCTTCGACTGCAAGGGTAATCTAAGAGGCTACATATCAGCAAAATCGTCCCGAATTTACCTATATACGGACCCCAAGGGGAAGCTGTTATCAAGTGCGCAAGCGCCCATAATGACCAACGAGCAGCGCGACATTACCCGGCTACTGGGACTGGAGTCTGCTGGAGGACAATATTCCAAGAACTCAGCACTAAATGCTAAGCCATCTCGACTAGAAGCGTAAATAGACTATCTAAACTACCTTCTTATGGCTCACTGGGACTGTTGCGGCCCTTCAAAGGTTTGCACACACTCCATACACCTAGGGTCGCCTCAGAATACACTGGTAAGCGAGGTCTCTTCCCATTAAGACTTCAAAACTTACTGAACTGCTAGACATACAGTATAGCCAAAAATAGAATAGTCCCCAATGTTACTGATTCTACCGGTAAAAAGGAATGAATCATTCTGTGAACTCGGCAAGCAATCGCAACTCAAGGCTATTTTCCTTAGAGCAGCATGCAGTTGTTGGATACCTTATTTCAGCTGGCCGCTGCTAACGAAACTGGCATAGATTCCATCTACATATAGTTTATGCAAGAACTCTTCCGTACTCAGATTGCAAGAGTCTCTTCTTTTGTTGGAGCGGCTTCCCGTTACGAATAGATGGCTTACGCAACGACAACCGCGTCAATCGTTTATTCAGGTGCTTGAAGTTAGGGATGACAGTAATCTGGAACGGGAACCGGCTTCCCGACACCAGAAACGGAGAAGGTCCTCTTTGGCGCTTAGGGGGCTTCGTTGCAATATAAATAATGGTCAGGTGGTATTGGCTACCAAAGCCGGTATCTTCGAGGTTGAGGATATGCATCAGCGACGAACAAAGTGGCCCAGTTGATCATGTCGACGACAGATGCAACTGCGCAGAGATTATCTACAGATCGATATAATAGCGGGTTTGGAACCCCAGTTAATATTAGACAGAATGGTAACCTCACCTCTTCAACACCCGAGCAACCTCGAAGGTCAGGGGCAGCGCAAACAAATGCCTCGACAAATGAGACAAAGAAACGAGTGACGGAGATCGATGGCACGTAGGAAGGATGTTGATGTCCGAAATTATAAATTTTATTCCAAGTTTTTTATGCACATATTCCAATTGAACAGCTGCAATGACTCACAGGGCGTGAAAACGTTGGGGTTGATATAAACATATGCGATTAACCCGGTGGCCTTCGCTGCTCTATGCACATACTCCGAGTACGGCGACGGGAGCCTCATTGTACACTTTGCAAAAGGGAATTAATGACCCCACCGAAGAGAGGAGAAGAATGCAACTAGATGTTGGTTTTTATCAAGAGAAAAAGTTTGCTGCTGGTTCTGTGTTAAAAATAAAAAGTCTAGACGATATCGTTTACCTCATACTGTCGATATTTTTAGATTCCACCATGAACCCCCCTGCACGGTGGTTGTCAGTTATCATTCGGGCACGATCCCCTCAAACGAGAGATGATACACGTTCTTCAGCATCCTTCCATGCACGTCTTTCCTACAAGGACAGGTAAGGTCGTTTCTGTTTTGTATTACCAGTAGAATTGGACTTGACAAGCATCATGGAAGGTGGCCCTGTAAGGTTACAGACATAGCCAATACCGGATCGTGAGAGAAGCATGTGAGCTAACGGGCGAACTGTTATCATTCCCATAACTACCCCAATAGCCTTGATGCCAGCAGTAGTGTTGATGATAGTGAGGATCCAGACGAATCGTCTCGAGCGCTTGATCAATACCAAATTAGCAGTAGTTAAATTTGGGTATCTCCAGGCATACTTGTTTTCGATATCCCATTATATAATACATTGCCATCTCAGTTCTGTTCTAGCAAACTGCACTCAATTCCAGAGTGACTAGCTATAACTACCCCATCGAGCTTATTCTGCGTGGATGGGATCAAACAGATATCCGAAATTACTTGTTTCGTCAATCGCTTAGGCCAAACTCACAGCTACTCTTGAACCAGACTCTAGATCCAGGTACGGAATACGCCCCAGTACTAATTTGAATCCGGACTCATCGGCCCCAGCTGGAATCGCGTTAGGGTAGAATGTACGAGGCCTCAGCCTACTGGACCAGCAATCTGTCTTTCGAAAGACCCCTCAAACAGTAACTGGTTCTGGACCTAGGGCGATTCAGGCAGGTTATCAGGAGGAAACTGCAGCGGAGGATCGTCGAGGGCAGGCCTCACCCGAAGTTGCACAGCTAGTCCCAAAGACGGTGAAATCAGTACTCTCATGCCTTGGCCTTCTGCTTAGTCAGGGCCTATATCTATTGGTGCCATTGACGAAAGCAAACCTGACAATGTGAGATGGCCTGTATAATCCTCTAGATCCGCCTCCTTGACGATAACACTATGATCTATAACCTTGACAACTGTAAGCTCTATCACGCTATCTTCTTTATCTTGAACTTGGTTAGATAAATGCTCCTGCGCGCAAGACGGGACCCTACTTCTTCACAACAGATTCTATTGATAGTATGACGTCCTTAGCGACTGGAAACGACTCCCCCAGCTCGGCCAACGCTTGGCACGCCTTGACGAACGGCTCAAGTTGGATCGGACTGGACTCTGTGGCCAATAATACACGGAAAGCGCAGACTGAACTAGCTTGAATCATCCAGTGCTCATTGCGAAGGGTGTACAAGGCTCGGAAATGCCATATCGGCGATATGGCATTGCTTGCATACGCGTAAGACGTTATGACCGGACCAAATGGCCCAAAGTCTTCCTTGGATAAACCTTCGAATAGCCGGAGCATACTGATAATTATAAGTTAGGCGGTAAGGCTGATAAGATTCAGTTAATACTTGCAATCGACCCTCCCATATCACCAACTTACTGAAGTACTACACCGGCTGGCAGCACCGCATTCTCCACTTTGAGTCGCTCGGGAACAGAAAACTTCCATTTAACAATCTTTATGTAGAGTTCCAGGGCTCTCTCTATGTTGCGACGAGGCGCAACACCGTCCTCTAACGGTATAAGGAACTCGAGAACTTGTTCCGTGATCTCCGCAAGGTTGCATTCCGCGGCAAAGATCTCCCTCTTCAACGATTTCTGAGGCACTACTGAAACAGGGTAGGGAAACCACCAGTAATCAGGGCTGTCTTTTTTGCATAATGGTGACGTGGCTTCGTCATGCCACGTCTTTGATCTGTTTGGTTTCTTGATGACGAGACGGCGACAAAGGCCGTGTATTAGCTTCCTATGATATAGGTTAAACCCATTGTCTAAACCTAACCTGAAATTGAAGCATACCAATCTCAAACATAGAATCCCCATGAAATCCATGTCAAGGCATGTGCATCTCTGCACTGGCGTGCTCCAGCGATAGCGGCGTTAGTGGAACGCCACACTCCAGTTGAAGCGCCAGGTATCTCGCTTGCATGCGACTGTAGTAACTCAATGCTGTCTCCCCATTGCCCAGAGCTGCCTCGTAGGTGTTTATTAATGCCAGACCCTGTGCTACCGCCAAATATGGGCTAGTATCTCCTAAAGAAAACAGCCTTGCCGCCTCTCTGGCAAAAGCCTGGCCTCGGGTGTTTGGATCGTTCGGCAGAAGCAAGGTCGCCTGGTTTGTCGTGTATACCTAAAATTCTAATTAGCTAGCACTTTACGGGTGGCTATATTGGGACACTGATACAGCTGACGGCTAAAGGTGCGTTGATAAGAAATGGAGAGCAGAAACGCAGCTCATTAGGCCGGTTTGGCGTGTTAGGATTCAGGGTTTTCAGATCCTCTTCGAACATAGTCCGGTCAATAACCCGGTTACCAATCGTGCCCCATGTCCAGAATAGCAGCAATAGATGACTCATGAGTGTATCATCATTTGAGACTGTTGTCCATCTTGAAAGTGGAAGGGTATATCCTGGCAAGTCGATAAATATGCTGTTCTTAGCGTATCTATGTTGCGTGTCTCGCCTAGAACTTTCGAAAAAATACTCGGGATGTTCGTATCTAAAGCACCGCATCGAGTTATATACCTCAGTAAATTCCGGCTACGGACGAGTGTCAAACTGACCGTAAAGTAAGCCTGGCGCGTGGAGGGTCATAATGGATAAATCGCTGCCCACTCCCTAGATAGTCTGCTTGCGAACTAATAAAGCCAGGACTGCCAGTCTCAGTATTCCCAGCCAGAGTATTCGAAGATGTAGCGCCTGAACTTGTCGACAGCGGAGCGTGGGATGCCGTAGGAGAAGTCAGCTGCAGGAGTAGGCCCCCTCCTTGGAAGTTCTCAGTCACAGATTTGATGTCCTTGCCAGCCCGGATCCGGCGAAGCATCTCTTGCGCTTCCTCCGGTTGCCGTGTCTTGAGCGAGTCGTACATATTTTCGTCAACTATTCGCTCCTCAAGCAGATCATTTTTTCGCTGCATGGCAGCCGCCTGAAGTTCATCTGAAGAAGTAGCATATCGACATTCCCGCCCGGCCGCGAAGCACGTATAACATCTGAGGCGCTTTCCATCGCACTATAACGCCTTTTTAGTTCGTCGCTCTTTGACCTCATAAAACCGACTGCGAATAGAACCTTAGCCTTGCGTTGCCTGCAACCTTCGCAGGCTCTCTTGACAACTGAACGCTTACGAGTTGCGAGTCTTCGTGATGGGGCCTCAGGGGGACCTCCGCGCATCAATCCAGGGAGCAATGGGCGGTATCGGCTCGCATGTCCTTCAGGCATGTCAAATGCGATTAACGTGGAGCCCGATGTTTGAAAAAGGGACGAGACGAGGATTGATGAGAATGATGCGACAAGGCATTGAAATCAGTAACTCACAATACGCGATGACCCAACTGCAAGCGAGGAAAAACACTTCTTTTTAAGCGGAAGGAATCTAAACCGATGAGGGCGGAAATGATGCATCGGCAACGCATCTCTGCCCCAGCTGTTGTTGATATGAACCTGCCCCCTAGGTGCTAGCGCAGACGACTGTTGATAACAAGGCAGCAGAAGATGAAGAATTTATGTAAACCTCTTAAATCCTTCTTTGTATCTTCTTCATAACTGTCGGAAGACCTGTTAGCCGCTTGGCAGAATTTCAGGCCATTGGCGGATGTCTGGTGTTGCAAACCTCACTCCTGACGTTATCATCGTCATGGGACACGACCCGGAGGCTCGGGGCGGGGATATCATCGTCCCCTGCGTAAAATAAATCAGGACGGCGAAAGCATTGGAATCGGAACAACAAAAAGGCGATATGGAATGGCAGGAGGAGGAGAGCAGTGAGGGAGTGCTGAGTCATACGCAAATTAGGAAAAAGGGTGACGCAGAAGGCAGCTGGCAGCACGGCCGAAGTAGCCCAGGGTCTGAACAAGTTCTAAAAAAAGACCAACAAGAAGATAGAGGCAATGAAGGCAGAGTTTTAGCCTGAGTTTACCAAGCTTAGCGATCGCATGGCTAAGGAAGTTATGAGGCCTACAGCCCAGGTGGCCAAAGAGTTATTGCAAGTCCGAGAGCAGCTTACGGAGGTTCGCAGCGAGCTGGATATACTATAATGACATTCACGGGTAGATCAGGATTTCCACGTCACAGTTTGATAACTACATATCAGACAGCTCTATAGAATCTATGATGATCTCCTCTCCCTAGTCAGCAGATGGTACGCAGCGTCGGATAGTCCTACTTTCCCTGCCACTTCCATTCCATTGAAGCCCAGATAGAATCGTCAAGAACGGCTTTGGCATGGTCGGCCGCTAATGCCTCTGCTACCTGCTTATCGATGGTCTCTATATTCACTTCCTCCTTATAAGGTCCCCAGAGCGCTTCAAATACAGACTCGATAGCGGGACTCAGTTTTGCTAAATGTGGTCGTGCTTTCGTGATATGTCTGGATAACGACTGAATGTCTTCTTCCAAGTACTCATCCCCTTCCCTAATCATACTCAGTCTGGCGGCCAAGGGCGTCCTTTTGAGTTGATTCGATGCTCTCTTCTATCATCAGATACATAACGCCCTCCAAGGCATTAACGATGGCTTTGATCGCCTCTTTATCCGTACATGCGGTCGCACCCATGTTAGGATGGACCTAGGGTGACGACAAATGCGGGGTCTGAAATTGGTGAGGAAACAAGCTGAGTCTGACTTGTGAAGCCTGGATGAGGACGGATATCATGGAGGATATGTGATGAGCTTACATGGGTCAATATGTAAGGCAGGAGTGGTAAAAACCGCTTCAGGATGTTTGCTGATGTCTATTTTTTCGAGAGGAAATTCTGAAGATGGTTCTTAGTTTCCAGCCTCAGCGCTTACCGGCGAATCTGGCAGCCTGCCAATTCCTGTTTCCTGCTTCCTACTCAACGGTGCATGCCATCGTAGATGCTCAAAACGCGGACATACATGGTACTACATGGATGGGGGCAATTTTAGAGATATTCTAGTCCAACGATTGGGAAAACATACTAGATTTGTTTTTTATACCTGTTCATGCCGCTGGGAAGTTGGCGCTAGGACTCGTGCATATCTTTGAATAACATGGAGTGGGGTTCGAACCACCGAGCTGCAGAGAATTTCGCTTGAAGGATTCATGAGTAGGTGACTCACGAGGGAGGTGAGGGCAGGGGTCTCGAGAACCAAACAAATGACGCTCGCTCGTTGATTGCTGGCAAAACAAGCATGAACCACTCGCCAAATCAATAATCCGCTCCGGCGCAAGTCAAATATCCAGCAATCAACCAACAACAGCAGAACGCCCTGGGAAGGACATCGTCGATGGCGACGCTAGCAACCACCGACTCCCCGACCCTCTTCAAAGACACAAACTTTTGTCTGAGACGCCAGACGTGCCGTAATCTGCAGTGCATCGCTTTTCTCCCTTTTTGCCAAACTCGTAAACTCTTACAATTTTATGAGAGAGACAACGAGGTTCAGGCTGTTAGGATTGACTAGTTTTGGGGAGTTTATGAAATTGGCGACAAGCTGTACTCCATCCCATCCCTGTGGATGAGTGGGGCACGCCATGATGTTAACCCGCTGGCTAGCGAGGGTGTCTGACTCCTCGAGGCCATTATAAACTAGATAGATCTAAGGCCAATTTGGGCCTAATTTGGCCCAAGCAGGCGAGAACCCCACCCTCTCAAGAATGGCTAGTGGCCGAGATGATGGAATCATGGTGGAAAAGTGGTCTGATTTTAAAATCATGGCGGGGCCCAGAACACGCGGGACTCACAATTGTAGCTTGACTCAGCGTTGCGGCGCTAGCAAGAGATGCCCTCTTTGTATTTCCGCTATAATGCCTTATCTGTTATGATCTTCAGTGGAGTTGGCTTAACATATCATTCAAGATATCGCATTGCTCTCGTGGAGCCATGAGAATGGGACATGATGTAAGTATATATATCTGGGCCCTCTCCAGCCTAGGCAGCCACCGAAGTGCACCATTAAGGCTGCGCCTTATTGTTGAGTTTGCGTTCTGGTAGGTCTGCTGTGTGCAAGAAGGCCGCAAACGTGATGCCCCAAACAGCGATAAGCGATAAAAGCGAATCAGTCCCTCAGCCGGAGATCCTATTCCCGGATGCTTTCCATGGTGTGTCGGGGCCTCAGGGGTGAGGTATTAACATATTGATGACGTGCCTAACAAGTCACTCAATTGACAGAGTTGGCTCACGGAGCGTGAACATTTTGCAAAGAACATCTCTAGCGTGCCATGTCCTGTCTCGGAGCTTTCTTTCGCGGTCCCGGGCTCTGGATCCGCAGGGTCCTCCAGATTTATTCCACACCCCCACCAACCAGTACGTCCACATTGGCAAGTGACCTACCCCTTCTCCACTTCTGGCGACGTTTGGCATGCCCCCTCGACCTCACATCCTGCCCGTCCTCGTCGTACGTTCTTAAGGCACCACGCACGATATTCCGACCGAAGCGGCATGGCCGTTTGTATCATTAATCGCCGCCATACGACTATCTGAGTTCAACGCCCAGCTATATGAACCCTTCAGCTGTCTATTGTAGCGGCTTCGACCTCCGGACCATTGACGTGGCAAATTACAAAAAAGCATTCTACGCGACGCTATTTTCCCATTGCTGTTCGAATTCATCAACTGCTAAATTAAAGGACACTTGACTGTTGCTAGCCGTCTCTCGATCGTATACACGATCGTCGAACCGTAGAAATCTTACTATAATGTAACCTGATGATGGGCATACTCGGAATTCTTGCGATATCGACAATCAAGCAGTCCTATTAGGGTCTCGCTCCACTTCCCATATGCTTACGGGGCTAAGATGCCTTCAAATCGAAGCAGTTTACATAGAACCCCGCCACCACCAACCGATCATTCTCTCCATCTCAATTCCCTCAGCGACAGCCATGAGACGGGGCCAAGTGACCCACCAGAGTGGCATAACGACTTGAGCCAGACCGTGACCGCCAACAACAATGCCATAGACGGTATGCACTACTTCTAGCAGACTCCTTGTAATCTAGAAGAAACTGATGCAAAGCTATAGTTAATGTCCCCTTCGTCCG